TACACCAACATGACCATGGCTATACCTTGCCAAATGGCACGCGCATCTCCCATCAAGCAGGCAGCATTACGAAAACACCGTTCACAGATCTCGGCTTCCCAGTCAGTATGCACGAGCTTTCAGCCAACGCATCCACAACACTCGACCCCGAAACACAACGTCCGATCTCGTTCGCAGGACAGTTCGGCATCATCGACTTCGACATATCCGTACGTCTACCGCGGCACGTCCACATCGCGCCGCCCACCGGCTCAGATCCGTCGAAGCAGAAGTTCGTTGCTGAACGGATACTGGTACTCAACGGCATGGCACTAGTCGAGCTGAACGGTGAAGTATACATCATCCCACCACGGACTCTTGTCACCATCGCGCCAGGTGTACCACACACCTGGACCGCTTGTCCGTCAGGCGTGAGTCCGGCTACGGCCTTTCCGGAATATGACGCTGATATGTTGACCGATATGGATCGGTGCGTGAGCGATGGAAAGTTCTTCATGGTGTATGAGTATGAGGAGGAGACTGGGTTCTTTCCGACGAAGCAGACGGAGACGCTGAAGAATGTGGAAGAGTATATTAGAGCTGGGGACGACGAGTTAGAAGGGTTGAGGTTTCCGGCTCTGAGCGCTGAGCAAGTTGTGAGCAAAGGTTGGACGGTCTGGGGCAACGAATGTAGAATGGTTAGCAGGCAATGAGTTTTCTACTAATCTGAATGAGTTGGCATGCCGATTCTGTGAACAATCGTCAATCTGTACTCTCATGTGGTATGTCTCGGCTGCACTCGTGTGTTTGCAAGTTAGTTAGCTGCAGGCCAGACAAGTCAAATAGCAATTTTGAACACTGACCTGAGATAAACATAGCGGAGACCACCCCTTACTGGAGGGAACCTCAATTTTAAGGTGTTGGGTAGGCGCGACGCTCGTGCCTTCCTCTTCTGTCCCGACCGCTGAATCTTTTGATGAGATCACCGCCTCTTTCATAGTACTTTACCAATAACGTAATTCTCACTTACCATCAGTCGAAATTCCACGTCGTGTCTATGGCGATTACGCCTTCATTGCACGGTCAGTCTGCCAGCCACCCGACTGACGAATCCAGGCTTCACCATCATGCTATTCCGCAGCTACCATCGAGAAAACAAACATCAACAAGCTATCAGCCTTCGTGGTCCACTCAAGAGTGTATGTCCACACGAAACGACTTCGAAGATGAATTGCAAGCACCTAGAGCTCATTGTTGACGAGGTAGCAAGCCTGCAAACATCGAGACTTTCAGTTTGCTCTTCTCCGCTCTTCCGCGGTGCCCGGAGACTCCCGCTGCCGCTCTTGCACAAATCGAGCTATATTGAACGAACAATTTCTCAACCACAAATCACCTTACAGCCAAAAGGGCGGCTGGCGCAATTGGTAGCGTGCTTGACTTCGATGGTTTAGCACCTCAGATCCATCAAGTGGTTGTCGGGTAAGCGAAAACAAAACTGCCTCTTCTCCTCAGCGACTAACGATTCTTCCAGTTCGAGCGTGAGCATGATATCTTCATACTGCACTGAGTCTCAAACTAATATGGAATAGCCGGCGTCGCCCTCTCCTCTCAAGGTTGTAGTAGCTCAACACTTTTTTTGCGCTTTTTTTGGCGTTTCTTCGATATGGGTATTCGAAAACGAGAATATGACCTTCTTCATTGCGTGCTTTTCCGGCGTTGCTTCCGTCAAGAAATCCAACAACGACAGAATTGGGTCTTCTTCACAGCATGTACCGGCTACAATGGAGCGTATGTTACAACAGCTGTACCATCATGGCTAAAGTCATTCAAACAACCACTTGCTCTTGTCCATCACGGATGCGAAGATGTCCCGAACTTTTTGAAAGATACGTTCGACGCTTTTTATCAGAACGATCATCTTCCCAGCAGTACGGTGCAGCTCAGGTTCTTTGCATCTACCTGCGGGCCAAGAAGCTCATCGCCGTTGAAGTCGACTGTCTATGGCGACACGTGATCGGAGCTTCATGCTATGACGGTTGATCACTCTAGCACAAGCCATGAGACCCTGGTTGGACGTAGCTAGGCTGCCTGATAGTGTACCCTTGGCATGTGAAGAACGATGGCAGACCATCCCAAAGGGTGGTTTCTGCCATTAGCACTGCTCTTTGCGTCTCTCCGAAGCCGCTTCACTCGTCTTGTCAACGGCCCTATCGCGAATGGTCCGGAACTGTGCACAACGGTATAGCCTATGTCACCATGAAGAAGAGGCCAAGCCCTTATCTCTCATCGGCTATTGCGGGAACTATCTGCCATGAATACTGTCCACTGGGAGCACCCCGCTCGAACCACACGGACCAGGAGGCTTGTTGGTCCCATCGTTGACGCCTGGTGGTCGTCACTCCCATAAAAGGCTGATGGTGGTCCTGTTTGCCGTAGCAGGCCTCCCTTGACCATTGTGCCATTGGTTTACGGCTGCGGCCCGCATCCCCTACCACCCATGCCACAGCAGATCTTTGGGCTTTCCGGCTGCCTCCAGCATCACCCACCGCCCATGTCACGGCATATCTTTGGGTGTCCTGGCTGCCTTCCCCCATCCGACACTCCTTGAGCTATAGCCTACGATGGAGATCGCGATATATATACGCGCTGATCCGACGCGTCTATGTCAGTAATGGTCGTGCCTTCCCTATGCCTTGTCTTACCTTAGATTGGAAGTGGCGACTTGGGCACCTGCTTCAATTCGAACATCAAGGTTAAGTGAGGCGCTCGAATTGACGCAACTCATTTAGATCAGAAGCTGCTCACCTTAGAGCCTCGAATTCTACTTCATCAGCAATCGACAGCATGGTTCCATCACCTCTACCATCAAGCCTTTCTCCGCCAAACGTCGAGCCTCGAGCAGATCTCCTCCCGCTGCCTCAACCGCCGCGGCCGCCTCGCGCAACAGCAATTCTAGACGCCGATACGGAGATGCAGCAATGTTTTCGTGATATGGAGTCCCACTGTGATGCACTGACTGGTTTGTTCCAAAGACTACAGATCTCCCTTGTCAGTTCTGTCAGATCGACAAATCCTGCACCGACGTCGGTGGTAGTCACATCTACGACAACTAGCAGAGTAGCAGCATTTGTACCAAGGAAGAGAAAGGTGATCGACGATTCTGCTGATCCTACGATCTTGACGAGTATAATGTGGAATCAGTAAGTACAATGCTTCTCTTGCATGTTCAGAACATGAATTCAACAGATGCGAGTCACATAGGAAGACCTCCGGCCTTGGGCGCGAGAATTTCATCCGGACAAAGGACGAAAAGCTTGTTTTGCACTCGGCAGACGTGGGTGTGGACGACGACAACGAGTCTAGCTTCGAGGCTGGCACAAGTCGGCAAACCGATAACACCTCGAACGACATCGCCCACGTTCCTCAACGAAAACGGCGAGGTAAAGCTGCTAAGAAGGGTTTAGACTTGGTTCCTGAAACAGCGGAGGAGAAGGCAGAATTAGACCGCCTTATCAAGCTTGTAAGAAATGGGAGTTCACGCAAAGACCAATACTTGCGTTGTTGGATCAGATACATCCTTAGCGACTAGTTCTTTCTCAAGTATCGCAGAAAGGCGATTGAATGTTTGGCACAATATGCTAGAGGCAGAACGTCTACGGTGGAAGCTCGCAATATGGAACCTGCTGAAGTAAAACTTCATTGAGGTTGGTGTGAGAGAAGTTAGAGGTCGGTCGAAGGCTGATCAAAGAATGCTTAGAGGACGATCGAAGGTCGTAATGAGTGAAGACTAAGGCGACGCTGATGCCTGAAGACATCCAATAAGCTCAAAGAAGGACTTGCGATATTTCATCAAGTACATCACCAGTGACATATTCTGGACCTATTATAGGCAAAGCTCGATCTCAATTTATGATCAATACAGTGGTCAGGGTTCCACACTGCAAAAGATCACGGCGGCAAACAGGGGAGTTCCAGTCTCAGTAATGCCGGATGGAGGATGTCTGGTGCAGAGGAAACCAGACAAGGCCGGGTACGCCCAGACGCATTTTGAGCTGAAGACTTGTCTCAATTGCGATCTGAATCACCACTGGAAGGTGGCGAGAGCATTCATTGGGTTTCAGGTGTTTGAGTTGGGAAGGCCAAGACAAACACCGATGAGTGGGTAGGGGCATGGGTCATGGGGGAAGTTGTTCACATCTCTGTCACAACTCAGCATGCTCTGACCCATTCCATATTGTCAAGAAGTCGGGATCAAGGAATCGATTGCAGTCGTTCAGCCGGTCCCTGCTGGTCGATGTATCGGCCATGAAGGTGCTCCAGACTGCCGCCTGGATCTGATGTGGAAGCTAAAGGAAGACTGGCAGACATTGTATCAGAACTGTGAGAAGGCTAAGGGGGTGCTCGTCAAGCCCAACTTCCGATGCTCAAAGGGTTGTGTTCCAACGGCGGGCGGCCCTTTATTCGTTGTGTTTCAGCACTGGAAGGCACAAGGTCCAAAGAACGGCATGCACTGCAGGGCAGGAGCTCATATGATAGCAGCTTAAAGATTCAGATAGGATGCCAGAACGTTGAGCGACTGTGGCTTCGATTCGCCTTCAATCACTCTTCCTCGTCGTGGCGGTAGATCTCGTCCACCGTCAACGTCTCGAGCTAGCACGTTGAGAACACCCAGAGCAGGGCTCGATCTTTTCTCAAGTCTCCTCTCTTCTATCTAAAGAAATCCCGAATGCTCTTCGGAGCAAGCTGGCAGCAGAGAGCTCTCGTCGGTGTCTTGAACCTAAGCAGTCAGTCTCCTAGTCTTACAAGACCAGTATTGTGCTTCGATAGAACGGTAGTGGGGTGAGGTTCTCCATTGAACTGCTAGTCAACGTTGTCAAAGTGAAGTTGTTTGCTTTGTGTTGGACGGGTGCCTGCCTCGCCAGCTGTCACTTGCTTCGGCCCCACCACCCAGGCTTGCCGGTTCGACCTGACCGCCGTTAATATTGGATGAGGTCCAAATCTTGTCCAACAATCGCACGCATGGTCCTCTAGCGCAATGGCAGCGCACTGGACTACGACAGTGTATATCCAGAGGTTGCAGGTTCAAGTCCTGCGAGGATCGATCGAGGCTGCCGCCGGTTGGATTTTTGTCGAAATGTTTTTGTTCTTTTTTGGACTGACCACCATAGCAAGGTACAGAAGTGAAGCCATGTGATGAACAGAGCATCGACATGCGTCCCTGACTCGACCCAGGTGAGCGAGCAGGACTTATTCATGAGGTAGGTAGGATCTGTCGCCGCTATCACTCATTAGCTGACCCCTTCCTAATCACTTGTAGATCGTTCTGAGGTCGCTCTGCGGCACGTCCACCTGATTTGGACGTGTGGCAGAAGTAATTGTGGCATATTGCCGCAGCAGTCGTTGCTGATCGTAGGTTGTGCGCGTTTATGTTGTGGTTCCATCCATTAGCACTTCTGACGCCACACGTGCTTTCCCCGACAGCGTGTCGGGCAGCTGTAAATCTCTCGAGGACCGTGTAGATCGACGTCTTTAAGAGAAGAGTTTTCTCAAAGCACAGCGCTCGTTCGAGGTCCTGTCGATGAGCAACGTAGCAGCCTACCTGGCTGACCCGGTACCCCATGTGACGAAGGTTGGGGTAGGACCTTAAGAGTTACGAGTGAAGGGAAGACTGATTAACAACTCTAAAGCCGCGTACCCTATTCTCAAGCAAGCCAGAGCACGAAGTTCCTCTACTTCTCGGCGACAGTCCGCGAACTCACGATTCGTGATTTCAGAGCTCTCCTGCTTCAGTCTTAACCTTCCTTTCGTCTGTTCGACCATTCAAAGCGCTTTCCTCGCTGTTGCCTCGGCATAAATGTGTCTCACTACAATGCGACATACGAGAAACTTTCCATTTCGAGTCCACGAAGTGATTTGACCATTCAGGTTTTTCACGTTGCGAAGCACACAGTGCAGGTGACATATCAGAGTCTGGGGAAACAAGCAGCAGGACCGTGCAATCTTAGACTCAATCCTGACTGGTTCATCACCACTGCCGAAGCCCCACGGATCCTCGCACCCGAGGAGCTAACCATATTCGGCGCAGATCATTTACTGTATTCATCTCTTCTCAATCCCCTCGGCGAACGCAAATTACTGCTTTCACTACGCGAGGATCAAAATGGATGCATTGCAACGGAGCACATCCCTGATAAAGCAACTGATGTGCCGGAGCTGGGGTATATGCTGGTATTGCCTTCATGCAGTTCATCCGTTGGCGCCATGATCCCCGTACACCACCGGTAAGTCCAAGACACAACAGAAGAAAGTCCTCCAGGTATGGCACGGGGCAACGGCACAGAGGAGCATAAAGGGCGGTCCCTCCCTCGAGACATGAACTGTTCCCTTCGTCTTCGGTCGACAGCACTTTCGTTCTTTCGTCTTCGACTCTCCACGACTTGAGCTGTACATACCCTCGGCATCTACCGACATGCTTCATCTCATCAGCGTCATTGGCCTGCTGGCAGTAGCTCAGCAAGCACTGGCCTTCCCCAGCATGGCTCAGGACTTCAAGTCGCAAAGCCACAGTCACAAATCGAAGCGAGTCAACGGCATAGCTCCTGGCTTTGATGCCGATGCCCAGCGCATCGATGTCTCTGGTGACCATGCCTTCCTCCCTCCAGGCCACGGTGACCTCAGAGGCCCTTGCCCTGGTCTCAACGCTCTGGCCAACCACAACTATCTCCCCCATGATGGTGTCGCGACCATCGATCAATTCGTCCAAGCAACCAACCAAGTCTTTGGTATGGGTGTCGACCTTGCAGCATTCCTCTCGACTTACGGAGCTGTAATTTCTGGCGACCTTACATCCTGGTCCATTGGTGGCCCACCAGGCGGTTCCCTCCTCCCTGGCCTGCTGAGCCAGCCGCAAGGGATCTCAGGCTCGCACAACAAATACGAGACAGACGGCTCCCCAACTCGCGGCGACCTCTACCAATACGGCAACGACTTCCTCGTGCAGCTCTCCCAATTCAAGGCCCTCTACGAGAAGCAGTCCGGAGACAATGCGAACTACGACCTCGATGTCCTAACCCAATTCCGCGCCGAACGCATCGCACAATCCAAAGCCGAGGACCCATACTTCTTCAGTGCGCCATTCGCCGGCGTAGCCGTGCAACCCGCAGCATACACCTTCATCTACCGCTTCATGGCCAACAAATCAGCCGAGTACCCAGAAGGCATTTTAAACCAGGAAGTTCTCAAATCATTCTTCTCAATCACAGGTGACGATGGCAACCTCCAGTATACTCCCGGCAACGAGCGCATTCCAGACAACTGGTACAAGCGCGCCATCGGCGACGAGTACACCATACCATACTACTCCACCGACCTCAACGTCGCAGCCCTGCAACACCCGGAATTCCTCGAGATCGGCGGGAACACAGGCACAACAAACTCATTCGTCGGCGTTGATCCATCAAACGTTACAGGCGGCGTCTACAACTCGAAGAACCTGCTTCAAGGCAACAATCTTGCATGTTTTGGGTTCCAAGCTGGGATTCAAGCTGCGCCTGATTTGCTCAAGGGACTTGTGAGTAATGTGACAGGCGCGGTGAACAAGCTTACTGGCTCGCTTGATTTGAGCGGGCTTGGATGTCCGGTGTTGGAGGGTATTGATGAGAGCCAGTTTTCGCAGTTTCCGGGGTACACCAAGCTGAACAGTGATGGGTCGTACTGAGCGCTAGGGAGGCCAGGCATGTAACGTAGTGTATGATGAACGAATATTATGTACAGTTTAGGATTTTAATTATTGTCTGTGCTCCGCGATGCAGGAGTCCTCCTGTCTGTTCGAACTCTATCCCACAACCAGAGCAGGATGAACTCTGCTTGGCATACGAGCAATACACGGTGATGGTCCGTTGCATTCACGATCCCGAACACCACCAGCAACCCGGACTCGGGACCTAGTGTCGCAAGTCTACAGCAGTATGATGTGGCCGAGGAAGAGCTTGCAAGCGCCAAAAAAGGGCTTTGTACAGGGAATGAGGTCTCTCTGGAATCCTCATCGATACACAGCAGCGACGGTGGAGGACTCCCTTCAAACAAGTAAGATGCTGCTGCCCATAGAGCGAACTACAAGCTGTCAGGTGCGATCGAGACATCGAGATGCGAAGAAGGAACAACCTTGCTGTTGAGGAAGGTACGTCCGGGCTAGCAAGGAAGGCACGACCCGCTGGACAATGAGGAAGGCGCGACCCGCACGCAAAGCAAGGAAGGTACGATCAGGCAAGCCAATGGGTAGGGAAGGTACGGCAAAGATATTCAGGAAGACGCGACCCTGCTGACATGGAAGGTGCGATGGTGGTATATGTGACAGAGGCAAGCACGACTGTTGTGCTAATGGAGAGGAAGGTGAGGCCAACAGCAAGAGGAACGCAATCGAGAAGCTCAGAAGGAAGGATTGAGCGAAATTCAGAGTCATCAGGAAGGTGCAACGTTGTTCTGGTTGTGGAAGGCGCAGTCGTGCTAGATAATAAGAAGGCAGGCACGACCACGTTCGACATTGGTAAGGAAGGCGCGACCGGATCAACTGCTGTTAGGAGTAAGGAAAGCGCGATCAGCTCAACCGCTCGAGGAAGTTGCGATCCACTCGCAAGTGTGGCAGGTACAACCGAGTCACTGAAGGAGAGGAAAGCCTAACACCATCACGCGTTTGAGGAGGAAGGCACGATGGGCAGACATGGGAAGGCGTGACCCTCTCGACGAAGAAGTTGCGACCCGACTGTATCAAGCCATGAGGGAAAGCACGACTGTGATGCGGCTGGTGAGGCAGGCGCAACCCCATTTACATCCCTGGGAAGGTGCGATTGCGATGTACCAGCAGGTGCGACTGTGCTGATGATGGTCGAGGAAAGAACGACCGTGTGCTAACAGAAAGGCAGGTACAACCGAATCCTGCGGAGGAGGAAGGCACGGTTGATGCGCTGGGGAAGGCAGGACCGCCTTGCTACCGAAACTAGGAAGGCATGACTGTGGTATTGGTGTTCACTGGGGAACGCAGAAAGATGTTGTAGAGATGATACGACCTTGTTCGATGATGGAAGTGCGAGCCTGCTTGCAGTAATGGAAGGGTACGTCCTCTGCCAACGGGCGGGGATTGAATACGCCTCGAGCTCATCACGCTGTGTACAGAACATAGTGTTTTCGAATTGACAGTCCGCTGGGCTGACGACTACTCATAGAGGCGTGTAGACATAGAACACCTCCTCGGCGCGTGGATCGTGATTGAAATTGTAGATGTGTTCACGAGGCTCTGCTTCAGCGGGGTGCTCGTGTCAGCCAGGACTTGGTCCACTCGCGCGGCACATTGGGGAATGAGAACTTGTTCGTATTCTTCTTTCCTACCACGCTAATATCATGAATAAGAACCAAAGTTATCTTCTCGCCAGACGCCACCTCGAAGTGCCGTTGGAGGAACAGACGTCCTCCAGACACATGTTTCGTAAGAGGTGATGATTCTATGTCGTAACTCCGTCACTTTCTTCGGGCTGCTGTATCTCGATCCACCCGGCTTGAGTCATGACTTCTAGACATATTGTGATAGCCATCTAATACCCTCTCCATAACCTAGATGTGTTAGCGGATTGCCCATGTATTGATGACTGGATCTGCTCTTACCTTGTCTCATAACAACACTGCACATGAAGACCTCGATCGGCCTGATGCCCTCTAGTGGCACCTTGCCCTTTCCTGTTGTCTGGTATAGACCCAGGGCATGTCTCAGCTCTTCCTCCGACACAGCGTCTGGGTGATCGATCTTGTTTCCAAGGATGAGGAAAGGCGTCTTCTGAAGGTCTTCCATGGACAGGAGGGCGTCGAGCTCGGCTTTCGATTCGGCAAGACGTTCATGGTCTTTAGCGTCAACAAGGAAGACAATTCCGCTAACTTCCGGGAAATAATCTCTCCATAATCGCCGAGCTGTTGTGCTGGGTCAGTATTGGGCTACTCTCATAACTCTGCCTCACATACCTTGCTGATGTCCTCCCAGATCGAAGGTTGTAAATCTGTTGTTACCAATTGCTAGCTCTTCAGATGCTGTACGTCGTTAGCCGTCACATGTTC